ATAGTAAACAGTGCCATCTCCACAGAGGGCTGAAAGAAAACAGGATGAGGAAAAACTTCTTTCACTTGTGTATTTTTGTGCTCTGTTTGAGTTTTTTTAAACCATTTGCTTGTATTACTTTTTCAGTTAAAAAAGTGTAATGCAGCAAAGGAGTAACTAGCTTAGCAAGTACAGCAGCCATGGAATCACTGAGTCATCACTTTTGATTTAAGCCAGAATACATTTATTGACTCTCTGCGATGTGCTCAGTGTTGTTTTAAGACTTCTTTTTATTATTAATTATTATTATTAATACTTTTATTATTATTATTATTATTTTATGAAATAATCACACGGTATTCCTCACCCCTGCCCATGGCTGGTGGAAAACCAACTGAGTTTTTATTGAGTTGTTTTCCAAGGAGTAGAGATGAGTTATAAACAGAACACATCTTCAGGGCAAAATAGGAGGAGTGCTTTTCCAGCAGATCAGAAAGCTATGAAGGATTTTCAATAGAGACGCCCAGAAGCTGAGAGAGAAAGCCTCCAGGACACTACAAAAAGCTGCCCAAAGTGCCTTCTCCATGGCACTACTGAAATAGGAAATAACAAATCCTACTCCATATTTGATCTGTTCCTTTGACTTTAACAAAGCCAAGTTAATACGCTCCTGTCTTTTCATGGGTTATGATGTCACAGAGGAGACGGTCTGGTCAACAAGGAACCACTCTGCCGTGATCACAGAGCCGGGGAAAGGGATGGGCTGCAATATGTATGACGAAGCCACAACTGTGCCCGTGCTTCTAGGCAGGTACCCAAAGTCGCCTCGACAAGGTGTCAAACACTTATGCCCACGTCCTCATCAACAGACATGTATTAAAGAGAAATGGAAACATATAAAAGGCCAATACCCTTGGTCGGTGCACCGTCCAAAGAACAAAGTCTCAGTTTGACAACTGGCCGTCTCGGTTCCCTGGGATTCATTCTTGGAGAACCTTAAAAACCACTCCTCTGTCCTCAAGAAGTGCTGCATATTTGTCCTATCTTTGGCTCAGGGATGGGGCACGTTCAAGTGAACTTTAATATCTTCACAGATTTGAGTGTCTTTCTCAAGGTTCACTTGCCCATTCCAAAGAGGCCTGAGCTATGTCCATCATCCGTAAGATCTATTCCCTCCAGTGACAGCTCATTGAGCCTGCAATTAAAAGCCAAGTGAACAAGACTGTCCTCAGCTAAAAAGATCACCCACCCTTCACTGTTTTCTTAATCTCCTCTCCTGGCTAATTGCAACAGACTAACACCTACCTCCAACAAGCTACCCAACTATGTCATTTTGTCTCCCCAAAGAGAAAGTAAGGTCCATAAAAGAGGAGACAACTACATAGTCACCTCTGAATTCCTAGCATAAAGTAATGTCAATAAATAGATCTATGATTATGGCTTCTTTCCTTTAAAACCTTTCTGGTTATTTCAATGAGACCTTGGAAGAGAGGTGTTTGTGGTCCAGTATCTTGATCCACAAGACTCTGGAGGCCTTTTTCGGAATGGCTGTTCACTGATTCATTCAAAACACAACTTCTCAATCAAGGAGTAGCTGTGCTTTTCTGCCAGGATTTTGTGGTCACTCTCATGCCAGAACAGCTTTAAACAATATCCTTACTTTGGATTTGTTATTTTTCCTCTCTTCCAACAAAATTGACTTTCCTTAATTTCTTGCCTTGAGGAATTATTTTTTCCTATTACACCCTTTAGTAAACCAAGATTCTCGGGATGGGCTTGGCCGATAATATAATCAGGCATCCAACTCCCAGTGTGAGAGGCCTGGGTCTCACCTCCTGCACTCCTGTCAAGGCAACTGAAAATCAGTTCAGGAGCCAACCAGCACTCCAGGGCTTCTAAGGCTCACGTATCTCCCAGAATCCCTGTTTTCACGTTTGTCTTGGCTTCTGAGGATTTCCCCTCACTTTCTTGACAATTAGTTGTGCAGCTTGAAAGATGAGGAAGTAAGGTTTTATTTCTTAATCAGCATTTTAAGGAACTTGTATAATGAAGGTTTTCACGAGTTTCTAGAACCCTCCATTGACGAGAAAGGAAACACACTAGACATTTTCTAAATTTAGCTCTCATGTGCATTTTATCTTTGCTTTTGTTTCCTTAACTGTTAACAGACATTTTTTAATTAAAAAAAATATGGCCCCAAATAGCATAGAACATTGAAGGGGCAAACAAAATTAAAGGGCAAATACAGAAAAATGATAACTATTCTTCAAAGTTAATATAATACATACACTATGGATCAGATCAGCAATTCTCAGTAACAGCTAATTGAAACATGTCCATGAGGTAAAATGTTTCTCCTGTCAGGACATGGCCAACAGAAAATAGAATTAATATAACAAACTAATATCCTAAGTCTGGGAAGGTACAGAATTCTACCAGCTAAATGTGTCTTCTTCTGGAAAAGAGGGAGACTCACCAGCTCTTTTCTGTGGAGCCTGGGCCCAGGAGAGAACTTTGAAGTGATCTCTGTAAGTACCCAGTTAGCAAAGTGAGTGATGAATAAAGAGACGTGAGCTTTGATGACAGAGATGATACTACTACTATTCATTTGTCCTCTAAAGTATGTCTTAACGTTCAGTGATCAATACTTCGGCCTCCTCAGGGTTTGAGATTATGGGAAAATGTACAGCCCAGGTCCAGACTTCCTCTTTGAGCTCGTGACACTGCACTTAGATATCTCAAGGGCACCTCCAACTCCACCTGCACAGAGCTGACTTCATGGTGCTCCTCCCATAGCCGCCCTGCCCAGGTCCCCTTGTCGGGGGGTAAGGTCTCCCTGCCTCTCCCAACTCAGGCCCATAACTCACAGATGTGAATGGACTCCTCCTTCAGGGCCCAGATATCCTCAGTCACCGAGTCCCACCACCCTCACCTGACTTACAAGGTACTCACTGGTACTCACTCAGCACTGACTCTGTGCTGGGGACCACGCTGCACACTGTGCACACGTTATCTCACTGGATCTCCACAACAGTCCTGGGAAATGGGTACATCACTGCTTCAATTGATTAGATAAATTGTTTCACTTCCTTGAGTGCATCATCCAAAGTGACATGGCTACTGAGCCACAAACTTGGGACTGAAAATCACTTGAAAACTGAACACTGCTACACTTGGCAACCACCCTACTCTGACTCATCACATCACCTCCTGCCAAGTCTTCTAAATGTTTCCAAGCATTCTAAAAGACAAAAGTGAACTACGAGAGCACCCCACTCCCCTACTTAAAATCTGTCAAGGACGGTCCACTGCCCTTAAGAGAAAGCCCCACCGGGCCTGAGCACGGCCCAACGGCCCGGCACCCGTGTTCCCTGTGCAGCCGCGCCGCCTCACCCACCACGCATCTCTACACGTGCCGTGACCAGGACACGGTTGCTGACTTCGTATAACCCAGGGCTTGTCTCACTCGAACAATGATTACCTTCTTCAGTGTTCATCTTCTTCATTGCTACCTCTCAGAAAAATGTTTTCTCAGGATGAATCAATATCTTTTTCCTTACAAATTCCCGTCATTGATAATGCGCTCCCTCCAAAAGAGAGAAGACATAATTCTCAGTCTCCTTATCTGTAAAGTGAGAATAACAAGGAAATATGTGAGGTTTTAAGAGAAATAATATTCATGTGAGGCTGAGGGACAATTCCATCATACAGTAGGCACTCAATATGTGCTTACTTAATATTAATAAGAATATATGTCATTACAGCAAACTTCAATCAATGTTTTATGACTTTGTCCAACAGACTACTGACAAACTGTTGGATGAACCCCTTTGAGCTGTTCAGCACAAGCTTACTGGGAGAGGTAAGCGCTGACTCCAGTTACAGCTGCAGCCAACCAGCAATACAGGGCGGGGGCAGTTTGCTCAAACTCTTACATGTTGCTTGAGCTTTTAGTTGTCGTTATTGAATAAAGACAGATGTTCTTTAGTCAAAGCTCCTGAAACATAAATCTTCAAAGATTGATGCAAATTAGGTTTCAAGTACAACACTCTCACTAGAAGTTATTTTGAAATGATAGTCTTAGCTCCTCTGCACATCAAAAGTGCATGTTCTCAATGTATCTGACTAAATACACCAAAAGGGTTGTTTAAAAGAAATTAAGAAGAAGCCATCCTGAATAACTCTCAGTATCATCTGCACAAAGCCTCACCCAAGGGCCTCATTTCTCACTTCCACATAGGTGTTCAGGTAGCTTAACTTGGGTCTTGGTTTCTTATAACACGAGGTGGGAAATAGTTGTGTATAGATTTATGTAGCAAATATGAACCTAGGGTATTTGCTGTGAAGGAATTCTAGAAGTAAGAAGATTGATATATAGTCCCACCCATAAGAAACTCAGCCTTTCCATTTACAACAGCATTAAAAATAAAATGAGAGATACATTTAACAAAAATTTACAAGATTTGTACATTGAACATTTTGAAGTATCACCAAAATAAATTTGAAAAGATCTACATATATGGAAGACATCCCATTTTCATGGAATGATAGACAATATTATCCAAAATGTTAAGACTCCCCAAAGTGATCTACATATTCAGTGGAATCCCTATAAAAATTCCAGCTGACTTCTTTGCAAAAATTGAAAAAATGATCCCAAATTTCATATGGACGTGCAAGGGGCCCAGGACAGCCACAACAACCTTGAAAAAGTATAGTAAAGTTTGAGGACTCAATTTAAAGGGTACTAAAAAGCTATAGTACACAAGTCAGTATGGTACTGGCATAAGTTTGGATAAATAAATCTATGAGACACAATAATACCCCAGGGGGAAAAAACTTACTTTTACAGACAGTTTTCCGCAAGGGTGCCAACAACACTCCATTGAAAGTATAGTCTATACAACAAATGGTACAGGGACAGCTGGGTATCTGCAGGCAAAAGAATCAATCTGGAATCTGGACCCCCATATTTTATATAACAAATAAAAATTAATTCAAAATAGATCTCAGACAGAAATGTAAAACTAAACCTATAAATTTTCTAAAAGAAGACACAGTATAAATCTTTGTGGTCTTATGATAGGCTTTGGTTTCCTAGATACAGTACGAAGAGCACAAGTGATAGAAGAAAAAACCAGATAAACTGGACATCATCAAAATTAAAACCTTTTTGTTGCAAAGGACATCATCAAGAAAGTGAAATGACAGGGGAAGGGGATATCTCAAGTGATAGAGTGTGTGCTTAGCAAGAAAAATAAAATAAATCAATACATCTAATTACCTCCCCTATAAAGAAATTGTTTTTAATGTTTAAAAAAACTATAGTGAAAGGACAATATGCAGAATAGGAGAAAAATTTTGCAAAGCATGTATCTAATAAGAGAATAGTACCCAGGTTATATAACAAATGCTTACAACTGAACAATACAAGAAAATAGACCCAATTTTTAAATTTACCATGAATTTAAATAGATGTACAAATGGCCAATAAGCATATGAAAAAATGTTCAGCATCACTAACCAAATCAAAATCAAAATGACATCTCATTTTACACCCACTAGGATGGTTATAATCAAAACATGGACAATAACAAGTGTCGTTCAGGAGGCAGGGGAACCTCATATGCGGCCAGTGGAAAGGGACAATGGTGCAGCTTCTTTGCAGAAGTCTGGTGTTTCCTCAAAAGCTTAGAGTCATATGGCTCAGCAATTCCATTCCTACATATAGAGTCATCCCTCAGTATCTTCGGGGAGTTGGATTCAGGAACTCCCCAACATGGATACCAAAATCAAAGGATGTTTGAGTCCCTTTACAATCAGCCATCTGGATCCATGTAGTGGAAACTACAGATATGGCGAGTCAACTGTGCAGCCAAAAGAAAGAAAACATGTTTTCACAAAAACTTGCACATCAATATTCATAGAAGTATCATTCAAAGTAGCCAAAAGTTACAAACAATATCCATCAATGAACGGATAAACAAATTTTCCAAGAATAATCCCACAATCTTTTGGTAATTGAATCTTTGACAAAGGATGTGAGAACATACAATGGAGTAAAGACAGCCTCTTCAGCAAATGGTGTAGGGAAAACTGGACAGCTGCATGTAAATCAATGAAGTTAGATTACTCCCTCACAGCATACATAAAAATGAATTTAAACTGGCTTAAAGTCTTAAACATGTGGACAAGACACTATAAACCTCTTAGAAGAAATCATAGGCAAAACATCTGACATGCATCTCAGCAATATTTTCTTAGAGCAGTCTACT